ATCGTATTATAGTAAAACATTTTATTACGTTGTCTCCCCCCCTTCCCCCATCCTCTCCCCCCATAATATAATAATTTTTTAACATTAAATGTTTTAGTGGTAGTGTTAGAATAAAATTATTTAAAAAAATTAAAAGGCTTTGAGATTTTAAACTATATATACTCTTGCAATTGAAATAATTTGAGGTCATTAAACTCATTTTGGAAAATGCTGACAATGTTTATTTAAAAAAAAAAAATAAAAACTATTTAATATTTAATGAAAAAATTAATAATTAGTAAAACAGTAAAATCTTAAGGCTGAAAAAAAAATTTATTTTGTTCCAAAATCAAATTTTTAATTATATAATTAAAAAAATACTTTACAGTTTTAAGGAAATCCTTTTAAAATTGATTTTAACAATTTTTTAAGTAAACAAAAATGTTTATTTGCTTTTTTTAACTTTTTGTCCTCCGATAACTTTTCTCCTTTGTGAAAACATGTGTAAGTACATTTGAGGAAACACTGAAAAAATATAATTATAAACTAAAATACTGGTTTTAAAAAGATAGTTATAATATTTAAAATACTATTAATATTTATGAAATCATTTCAAAATTAAAATTAAATGAAAATTTTTATTTTTAAATGCATTGAGTAATTTGGTAATGTCGAATGTTTCGAGAAATTTTCACTCGCCAAAATTAAATCAAAATCCAAAAATATAATTTTACTTAAATTAAACAAGAAAATTAAAAATAAATAACTTTCTATTTAAGAAATATCCAACTATTGTTTTGCAAGAAAAATTTTAAATATAATAACTATATTATTAAATTGATTTAAATCAAATCACCAAAAAAAAGAAAACTGGTTTGGGTCTTAAATAACGCAATCATAAATTACAAGATTCTTTAGATATATCCTGCTTTGAATCGTAGAAAGGTCTAATTCATTACTGGTACTTACACGGAATGTACAAAAGCATAATAGAAATCAATAGATAATTGTAACTGAATGTAAAATTCCAATAGTTAGGTAGCTCGGCTGTAAATATTTTATGTTCAGAAACATAAGCTTGAGCCCAATAAAAGCAAAGAAGTTCACCAGTAACTCCAAGAGGATATAATATAATAAAAAATGTATATCTAAAATAAATAAATACTTAAAATTGAATATTTTAACTTTGGAGTTATTAAAAGTTCATAAAATTATTCATAGAAATAATTACCTAGACCATACTAAAATGTATGGGATTTTGCCAATTAAATTAAGGGTGTAAAACAAATAACGTATTATTTCAGTAACTGCCCATGCTATTAAACATAAAGGTAGTCCAGGGCTTTGAGGTCCTGTCGGAGTTGCTAAGAGAACTCCATTAACTACCATTAACCTAGAGAGAACTTGAAAAGTGGTGATTAAAACATTTGATGGAACTATTCCGATAGCTGCATGTATAATCTATGGAAAAAAATTTTTTTTTCTTAAGTAAATTGATATTATTATTTTTTTTAACAAACAAAAACTATAAATATCATGCTCTTAAATTATCTAAAACATTAATTTTTTAATTTGTAAGTTGAAAAAGTCTCACCTCCAAGGCAGCAGCATTTTGAAAAATGCATACAACTAATTTTACATTAGACCATAAATCTTTAGAAGGTAAATTTTTTTTATCACTTAAATAATAACCGACTATGTTGTAAAGCAAATAACTCCAGCTAAAAAAATATTTGATGGAAATTAAAAATTTTTTAAAAAAGAAACCTCTTTCACACAAGTATAATTTTTTAAAAACAAATTAAAATTAATATTAATTCATTAAATTTGATTTTGAAATTAAAATATTTTCAAGGCACCAATTTAAAAAAAAAAAAAAGTAAAACTTACCCCAACGTTTGTAAAATATTATACAATAATAAATAAAATTTTGTGATAAAATTTTGTTCCTTTTTAGAATTTTTTACACCACTCATTTTTAAGCGAACATTAGACTTTGTTTAAGTATTTCAAAAGTGCATATCATTCCACATTTATATTCTTAAAAAAACCTATGAATTGTTAATTAATTAAATGTAAACTTACTGTTATCCTCTAACGTTCGAAATACGACGTGTAATATTGAATGACAGCGCGCCATGCGGCGAAAAGTGTAACTAACTTGTATGGACTTTAAAATTTTTAATAAATTCCAAATTTTTGTATTATCATTCAATTAATACGTAATAAGAGGAGTGGGGGGGGAAAAATCACATTTTGAAATGTACAAATTAATATTTTTTAATAATTTTTTTTTTTGGTTAAAAATTACAAATGAATAATTTTTGTCTGTAAAAAACGACTTTATAGTGATTCCCGACTTATTTCAACTTTATAAAACTTTTTTATAACCCCCTTCGTTGAATTATTAATAAATATAAGCGATCAGATAAAATTGAAGTAAATAAAAAAAAATGTATCCCCAAACAAAATTCTCATTAAATAATTCTGTGGAAAAAATTTTAATTTTAACTGCAAACTTAATCATTCTAAAAAATTGTATAATATAAATTATTAATTTCATGAAATCCTACAGTGGAAATTTTAAATACAAAAATAAAGGATTCAAATTAAGAAAAAAATAATAATTAAGCAAATTGAAAATTTCATATTATTATTATTATTAATTTTTTTTTTCATAAACTATTTTATGAATACAATATTTTAGCATGATGTGCAATGTGTTCTGCTATAAATGATGTCACAAAAAAGTAACTATGGTCATATTTTTCCCTAAGTTTATATATCAATTTGATTTTTTCACAATTTTTTTGATATGAAGAAATTAAATTATCAGGGAGTAATTCTTGTTTATGCAAATATTCATCTTCTTTACCCTAATTAGAAAAAAAAAATTTATTAAAGTATAAATTTAAATAAAAGACAACTGTTAAAACAAACAAACCTGTTCCACAAAAAGTTCTATGCAGGGCCCATTGTAATTTTTTATTAATTCAGTAGAATCCCATTCTGACCAAGTTGAAGTGTCTTTTCCTAAATATCCAGTAAATGCTTTCTTACCCCAATTTCCCAAGATGGGGTTACAAATGGGTGCAAAAGCAGAAACACAACAATATTTACCAGGGTTTTTAAGAGCACAGATGAGAGCACCATGACCTCCCATGCTAAATTACAAATTTTAACACTTATTATTTTTTGATAATATTAATTAACATCAAATTAAATAGATTTTCAAAATAAAAAAATTTTTTTAAATTAATTTATCCCTGAACTAAACAAAAAAAATAATTACTTTCAAATTCATCGATTATGAAAATTCAAGAAATAATTAAAACACTTGTAAAATATGATTCGATAAAAGTAAAAATTATTTCGAAAATAATTGTACTATGATACTTTTCGTCTGCTTTTATTAACTTTATACTCCAGTTTTAAATTAAATTTATGCATAAATAAAAATAATATTACCTATGCCCCATTATACTCTGTTTATTGGGTATGATTGGAAAATTATCGGCAATTAATTTTGGCAGCTCTTTTGTTACATAAGAATACATTCTGTAATGTTTTTTCCATGGTTCCTGAGTAGCATCTACATAAAAACCAGCTCCGCTACCAAAATCGAAACTATCATCCTCTCCAGGAATATTGACATCTCCTAAATTTAATTGAAATTCATTAATAAACTAATCAAAATTTAAAAAAAATGAAATGTGAAAGATATCAAACTTACTAGGGCTAGTATCTGGTCCCACAATCATTACCCCATGCTTTGAAGCATATTGCTGAGCACCACCTTTTTCAATAAAATTTCTTTCTGTGCATGTTAGTCCAGAGAGCCAATAAATAACTGGTACTTTTTCTTTTGCAGCTGCAGGCGGCAGGAACACAGAAAATTTCATAACACATTTTAATTCATTACTAAAAAAAAAGTTTTATAATGCACTTTAAATTTAACATTTAAAAAAGATAAATTTCACCAAAAAGCTCAAATCATCAAGTAATCTTTTTTTTTTTTACCTTTCATGAGAAAAAACTTTTTGATATCCATCAAAACAGCAACTGCTTGACAATTCTTTCAAATTTGCCATATTTTCAAATTTTCTTAAATTAACAATGGTAAACCTTTTAACAAATGACTTGAAAATTGTTTTTAACAAAATTTTTTCTATATAAAATAAAACTAGTTTGAACTGACTATAAATCTAGATAACACTTTAGGCAGGATTAAAACATTAACCAAGCCTTCTAGATCACAGTAGAATTTTTTTAATGAACTACAAAGTAACAAGATAAAGAATGAAATTAACTGTTATTATGTATCTCCAATATTATTATTTTTATTTTAATTTTTTAATTAATAAAGAATTCATGAAAAATGCATTTACACAATTTTTCTAAAAAATTTCTTTTTATCCACTTTAGAAAAATTTCATCAGAAATTAAAAAAAGTAAAATTTTTTTTTGAATCTTTATTTATATTGCACTATAAAATTTGAAAAACAATAAATAAGAGCCAATTATTAATTTTTCAATTGAATTTTTTTCTTGCCAAAAATTATCATGACCTTTTCATCTTCTTTTTAGGCAATAAGAAATAGAAATGTGATAATATAATTAACCCAAAAATTATTTAGTAAATTTGATTATCAAACAATTACAAAAATATTTTCAAACCAATGCCGAGTCTAAATTTTCAGTTTTCATTACTGCACCAAAATAAACTTTCATAATACATGTCTTGACATGCAAAAAAACGTTAGTTTTCAAAACTTCAAAAAAATTATAAAAATTTCAATATACAATATTTCTAAAATCTCAGTTTTATTTTTATTTTTTAATAAGAAAATACCTGCATGTGTAAAAAATACTTTATTACACTTAAAAATATATAATTAATAATTTTTCAATTTTATTTATTTATTTATTTTTTCTTTAGTGACTTTTTAATTTAGAGCATTTAATAGTGAATTATTAAAACCTCAAACATATTTAGAAAAAGTAAAATTTCTAAAAATGTTTTAAAGTAGTGAGATGTTTATACTTAATTATGTCAGGCTTGATTTAACGAATTTTTTTCTCGATAAAAAAAAAATTAATAAAAAGGTATATTATTTTTAGGTGAATTATGGGGAAAATGCATTTTTACGTGACATCAAATACATTGTCGTCTTCCAATAAAAAACATTTAAAAAAATTATTTATCAAAAATTAAATAATAATTTTCACTAAAAATACACAAATAAAATCAGTATTAAGTATTAATGGGAACTAAAGATTGAGAGGAATTATTAGAATTTGATTTTTGCTTCTATTCAATTTTTAACGTATTATATATGTTAAATTCTAATACGAAATGATAGCAAATGAAAACAAAACTTTAAATTTTAATTAACCACAGACAAATACGAATGAGTTAATTTAAACTGTTGTTGTATTATACTAAAAAATGTCGCATTTTTTTTATATTAACACACCTAATAACAATATTAAAAAAAATATATAAATACAAATGTTTTCAACTTTTAGTGAGTTTTATTAAATTCAAAATTATAAAAAGGTTAGAGCTCTTTTTAAGAAATTAATCAAAACAACGACAAAAATTATCGTGTCATTAGACTTTATGTCAGAGTTTAAATTTGAGAAATTTTATTTTTTAAATTTAAAATCTTTGATTATAAAAATGTAATTCTATTAGTAGCAAGTATTTAAAAAGTTCTAATAAAAAGTGAAACTATTAAACTATAAATCTTTTAATTTTTTTTCTCGAACGTTTTTTATTTTCTACATAATATGATGATAAAATAAAACACCTACAATATCACTTTTGTGTTTGATAAATTTATTTAAAAAAATGACAGATCTAATTATTTCAGACTGTCATAAAAACGATTTAAAGTTTCTTCAAGGGAAATCTCAAAATAGTAAGTAACAACGTAATTACTTCTTATTATTATATGAGTTTTTAAAAAAATTTTTTTTCAAGAAAATGTTTTAGTTTTTTCAGATTTTTGTAAGTTAACTTCTAATTTTATCGAGAAAGGGCATAACTTAAAACTTTACAATGCTGTTTCCCGTAAGTTTAAAAAATTTAAATTAAAAGATGCTTTTACGATTTACTTCATTTGTTTTCTTTTTTTTTATTGTAAGGTAACCTTCAAATTGATGTTAAGCAAGTTCAATCTATAGTTGAGGGTTTAGCTCATTTATTTGTAGAAGCTGGAAAATTCAAGGTAATCATTAATACTATTCTTTAAAAATTTTTATGTGTGTAATTATTAAATTCATTTCAGCTCACCAAAACTGCATTCGAAGAAGTTATTTTAAATTTGGGTTTACCTGACAATGTAATAGAAATTATTTATAATGAATATTTGTTACAAACTAAAGTAATAGACTTTGGATTGTCTACAATAGAAATTCAGCATTTACAATATAAAAACATTGATTGGAGGTTTGATATACAAGTAAGTATAGTGATGAATAAATTAATGTAAATATTTTATTGTCAGCATTGTTAATGTTAATATTAATTTTCAGATGTCATCAAAAGCTAACATTCATCAATGTAAGCCTAAAATACTTTTAAAATTTGAATTTGAAAAATCAAGGAAACCTATTAATATTTGTTTAAAATCTAATATTTCAAAAATTATTCAAATAAGCCGTTTAATCAATATCGCATTGCAAGACTCGAAAACAAATCATTCAAAAAAAATTGCAAGAGCTATTTTGTAATTTAATTATTAAATATATCTATACTTTCAAATAAAAAATAACAAAGAATATCACAAGCATAGTTATGAACATTCCTCCAAACAAAATATATTTGTCTTCCTTTACTCTGTTTTCTATTAGTCTCATAGTAGTATTAGATAATCCGAGTGTATTGGCAAAATTCATGAGTTTTTTTTGAGCTCCTTTTAAAGTAATACGCTGCTCCTTAAGATTTGAAAGAATTCCTTTACTAGTTGATAATAGATCATCTAAATTTTTGTTAGCTCTCTGTAAAGAAAAATTTCAAAAATGATAATTACTTCATAAGAAAGATGCATGATAACATTAAATTATAATATGCAAGAAACAAAAAAAACTGTAACTTACACTGCAATTATTATTTTATTTAAACAAAATGTTAGACTTATGTCGAAAAAAAGAAATTTTATTAAAACTTACATTAAGGGCATTTTGATGATGCAATGAATGATCAATAAAAATTGCTGTTTCCTCTTCTCTTAAACTTGTAAACTTTCTCTGAAGTAGTTGTTCTCTTTCCAATATTTCTGATTCTTTTTTTTTCTTTTTTATCTGAAGCATATGCAAAGCAGACTGTAAATGTTTATTTTCATGTTTTAACTGATCTATCCTACTTTTGTTAGCTTGTGTTCTACCAGCTGGATCTTTATAAGCAAGAATATCCAATTTCTCACAGTTACTAGGGAAAAAAAATTAATAATGCTAAAAAAATTTTAATGAAAGCAAGGATTAAAAAATATTAAAGAAAATACATTACCGTGTGATGGTTTCTATCCTGTTTTGAATATCTCTTTCTAAAATGGCAACTTCTTGATCAGTACATTTTTCAAGTTTAATAAAAATATGTTGAGTTTCTTTCAGCAATTCATTTGTTTGATGATATAATGCATTCATATTGTGTTACATTACCTATAATTTTTCACAAAATGTAAAAAAAAAAAAAAAAAAAAATTTAACTTAAGGAATTACATTAACAGTAATTATTAATAAATATTTTCAATTTGAGTAAATTTTAAACTGTTGTTAAAAGATATTATAAAGAAATAAGACACAGATACATACATAAAAAAAGAGCATGAAGCAAAGGCGTGACACAACACAATTACATATTGTTAAATGTAATTTTTTCAAAATTTTCGAAAATATACATTACATCGTGGCAACTTTACTAATTCTTGAAGTTCCATTGACAAAATTTATAAAAACATTTAATACAAAACTCAAAAAGTAACTAATTATTTTTATGTTATTCAAATTTGATGATCATTATATTATAAAGTTTTTTTTTTTTTCTTTCTTTCTTTTTCTTTATCAAGAGCTATAAAGTTAGAAAAGATTTAAAATTAATCTGACATTTTTGTAACACGTAAATTATTATAAGACTAATGACACGACAATATTTGTTATTGTCTATGGTAAATTTTACTTTTTAAATTCATTGTAACGATGTTTGAACAATTTCAAATTTAATAAAACTGACTTAAAACTAATCTTTTTTGTACATATATATTTAAGTTGAATTTTATTTTCGTGCACTTCAATTAGCTACGCCAATAAAAAACAATTCGACTTTAATTCGTGTCAATAATTTTTATTTGTATACATGAACTTTTTCTTTTTTTAAACGTCTTAATTTCTCTTTCATTATGCTATTGTAAAATCCAAATGTTATGGACCTTTAAACTTTTTTCAAAATAATTAAAATTAAAAATTGTCATTTTATAAAAAAAAAAAAAAAAATATTCAAAAAAATTATTTAGTAGATAAAATATTTATTTCTGTACACAAAATTATAATAAATATTTAAAAATATAATTAAGCAAAGGGACAGAAAACTTAATTAAATAGTGGTAAAAAGACTTAATAAATTTATTTTATACTAGTCATGTATACCACATTTGATAATATTTTAAATGAATCAGATATAGATTACGGAAGTCATCCGGTTTTTTAGACCAAATAATTTTTATTGTGAAATCGCTTGAGCTGTTGATACAAGTGGTTGTTCTAAAAATGATGTTGCATTAGGCGTCAATGTCATTTGTGATGCAAATGGACGAAGTGTCGATACTACTCTAGTTAACTTACTAGGAGTTTTACTCATGCTCAATGCCCTGCTGACTTTGACTCCCGTTTTGGAAGCAAATCTAAATTATTAAATGATATAATAAAATCAATCAATAATAAAATGAATTTAAAAACTGATACAAAACTTTTCATAATAAAGAATGATAAACAATAAAAATAATAAAGAGAAGCAAAATTCATCAAATTATTTTGTTAGTGCAGTTAATTTTTATAACTAACCTGATGTATTGTTAGCGCATTTGTTAAGAAAAAAAATTTGCAGTGCAATTGACTTCTTTTACATTAAAATAAAAATAAATAAAAACACAAGAAGAGAGATCTTTTAGTTATTTCGGTCTTGTAGATAAACGAAAAGAAAGTTTTCTCCTCGACCGAGAAGTTAATCTGAAAACAATAGGTCTCAAGCCATTTAGCCAAGGTTGGAGAAATATTAAAAGTGAAAAGCGAGTAATAATAAAAAGAAAAAAAAAAAAAAAAATTACATACCGGAGAGCTTTGCTGAAAGAATGAGTCGATTTGCAAATGGTAGAGGCATTGTTGGCCGTCTCTAAATTAACATCTCCAGGTTCCATGACGTCATAAAAATCTTCAGGATCTGTTGTGCAAACCGTATGAGCCATTTGTTTACACATTTCTTTGAGAAAAAAGTTTTTATCTAATTTTTCATCTGTGATTATGAATGAGCACAAATTTTCTTTCAAAGATTCAGAATTTCGACATAATAAAGCAAAAATTCTCTGGTATTCTGAAAAAAAAAAAAAAATTCAAATGAAGTAGATTTTTAAGTTTATATTCTAAACTAGGTATATATATATTAACAAAAATATTCGTAGGATATAAAACTAACCTTCTGTTTCTCTAATATCTATAACTTTTCTCAAATTTGACAAAGGCATCAATCTTATGTGTTTGTATTGCTTACGAAACTTATTAATTTTTTGCAAACTGCTCGGTTTCGTGCTTCGAAAAGTATTAAAAGTTCTTACTCTCTTTTTACACACTTCCAAAGTATCAGTAAAAAGCAACAATACTAAATTATCTCCTTTTTTCGAAGACAAAATTTCTGTGAGCTCAACGCACTCACATTTGGCTATCAAACTTCGATGAGATGATATTAAATGAGCCTGAAATGATGTTAATCAATTGTTTTTATCACGCTTTCTAATTAAACATTAATTTTAATTTGTAATTTTATCTTACAGGACAATTATCAATGTCGTTAAACAAATCGAACATAGCCAGCTGAGCTTCCGTTTTCCTTTTGTCTTCGTTTATGTGCGTCATGGCTTGTTTAATACCAGCTAATGCTTGTTCTAAGGCTTGCTGATCAGGATTTTGCTTATCAGTCTGCTTTATTAGATCTTAAACATTTTTGATTACAAAAAATAATAAGTTTAATGTTTTTTAAAGTGCACGTATAGTAAAATCACAACGATTAACTTACCATTGAGTAACAAACTAATGCTAGGTAGTCTTTGAACTGGTCGTATAAGTAGTTCCTTTAAAGATTGCCGCCCACATTCTGGTTTTGCTTGTCTAATTTTTAAAAACGCATGAAACCTGGGTTTCATTAAATCACACTGTTCAAGCATTTCTTTACTTTTTTCAAAATAATTTATAAAGGGAGGATATGCCTTTTCCAATTCAGGAGCCTGAAATAAGTAAAAGTAAATTTTTACAATAACATCGTGAAGCTCATAAAGAACTTCTAATACTATAATATATGGTAAAGCTCAAAAGAAACTTACATATCTTAAAATGACATTTCCGACACTGAAATCTTCTTTCCAATTTTGTACTCCCCATTTTAATTCTTCTAACATATTTAAATGAATTTCGTAAATTGGAGGAAGATTACCAAAGATTATTTTTAATTCGGTTGCATTTAAAATCACATTCTCTCCATCTAACATTTCCTCCAAAGGGATTTTGAATAACTGAAACAAAGAAAAACATTAATAGCAAATAACAAATTTGATTATTAACAAACAAAAAAAAACATAAAAATTTCCTTACGGATATGATAGTGTTAAGTATATTAACGTAATTCGATTCCGTGTGAACTAACTCCAGGAAAACTTGATGTCTACCACTTATAGTTCTTTCAGCGTCTCTAGAAGTCTTGATGTCTGAAAAAAAAAATAAAAATAAAAATAAGTAAAAATTTAAATTACATGAAGAAGAAAAGTTATAAATGAAATTGAACATACCATCGTATAAATTATTGTCGGGAGTTTCGGAGCAATCCAAATAACTTCCGGAAACGCTCAATAATCCAGCATCACTTATTGAAGATCTCCTTTTGTGAGTTAACGGAGATTCAAAATGATTTATTGGAGGTTTCTGTTGTAATCTTTTCCTTTTTCTAGTTCTAGATGAAACGTTACCCGACAAAGGTGTGCTTTGAAATCTTTTTCCGTCAGGTGTACCAATCACAGAATTCACAAACTAAAAATCAAATGATGAATTTAAAAAAATTTTTAAATATGTTTACCTTGTTTTAATTATTAAAATATCTTACATCTTCAAATAAATATTCTTTTTCGTCAGCACACAGTTCATTTTGAACAGATGCCCAAAACCATTCCGCTTTAACAACAAAAGCTTTCGGAGGTGCATTGTCCGGAAAATTACCAATGTTAGCATCATCGACAACCTGAAGGTAAAAAAAGAAAAAAAAAAAAAAAAACGATTAAAAAATATCTAAATAAAAATAATGATGTAGAATTTCAAAAAGTTACCGATGGGGGGCCGTTTAAATCAACTTTTTCTTTATTTTCAAATTTTTTTGAATTAAAATTAAACATTTCCTCATCGGATTCTAAAAAGTCATCGTAAAAATTAGAACTGAATTCGGGTTGGGCTGAAAAACCCCAAATTTTCCGGTAATCAATGAAATGAAAACTACAGTTTTTTAAACATGGAAACTTTTGATTTTCCGATTTGAATAAATTAAAATGACATTGTTTCTTTTGATTTTTCTTTTCTAATGGCACAAAATCTAAGCTTGATTCATAAAAAAAATTTTTAGAGTTTATCGGAAAGGAATTATTATCTGATAGTTTTTGGGCACCCATAAAATTTTCTTTAAAATTAGCTACATTCAAAGTTCCATTTTGCATTAAATTATATCTTTTTTCCCCACTTACAACCTGCAATTGGAAATAAAAACTAAACGAGTTAAGTTTATTATAAATACATTTCTAATTTTTCCCATTTCTATTTATAAATTTAAAATTATAAAAAATTTTTCCATGTTTGCAGCTAATAAAAATACATAAAATTTTAAAGATCAAATTATAAATAAAAGCACAAACATTAACAAATTTTTTGAGACAATAATATTAAATATAAATTATATAAAATTAACTTACCAAATGTGTACACTGAGGATCATCCAGAGATGATGGTACACCTTTATTTTCCACAAGAACTTGAATCATATGCTCAGTTTCTTCAGAGTTAAATCCTAAAAAACATACTTTAGCTCCACCAAATTTTAATTTATGTTCTGCTACCTAAAAAAAATACATTATTATGTGATAAATTTTTTGATTATTCATCATCTTTTAATATGTTTTTTGTTAAATAATTTTTTTTTAAATATAATAAGAACAATTAAATATAATTTTAAATTCTTACTATGTTTGAGCTTTTGCAAGAATATCATACAACATGTCTATTTTCCCAAGCTGAAGTAATCCATGATTCAGACATTACAGGAATATTAAATGTGCTTGCATACTGATATTTATCTCCACTTGGATAGTTTGCTACAAGATGGGTAATTTTATATTCCATTTCTTTCCTTATGCTACCACCCATCAAATGTATCAAACTTGCAAGATGACACTAATGAAATTATAAAGAAATAATACTTTTTTATATAGTGACTTTAAATTAATAAAAATTAGACAACTCATTTAATATTTAATTAATAAAGTTTTTAATCGAAATATTAATAATGACTCTAATGAAATAAAAGCCAAATTATTTAAAAGTCAAATCCCGAATCAGCTTATTTAGATTTGAGGTAATGTTTCGAATATCTCAATGAAGGCCAAACATTTTAATAATTTTTTTGGGAGCTCAATAAAATATATTTGATTATGTTAATTTTTTCATTATTTTTAAAATTAAAATCCATTATTTCAACAAATAATTTTTTAATTTACTGTAAATTGTCAAAAGTCAAATAAAATACTTACTAAATCTGTTCTTTTTCTGAATCCTGTAAAACAAATAATTAATCCCTTCATGGATAAACAATAAACAGGCCTTGATTTATCTGTAGAAGGAAGTGGATCTCCATTATTAACCAGTTCTTTTAATGCTGTAGGACCCAATATTCTATAAATAATTCATAAAGTGCTTTTAAAAACATTATAAAATTTATAAATCAAACCAGTTTGACAAAACTGGAAAAATAAAAAATTATAATTAATAATATAATATTATATACATATTAAAAATATAATATATATATATATATATTATAAGTAAATGTAATAAATCGAATACAAATATTATATTAATACAATTTTATAGTTTATAACATTACTTCTGCAATGAGTTAAAAACGAAAAAAAAATGTCATTTTTTAAAAAAACATTCATAGTAAACAATAAATATAGTAGTGAAAAATATGAACTTAAAATGAACTTGGGTATGTATTAATATAAAAAAAGATATATTGTTACCAAAAACCTCTGATTTAATTGAATTTAATTTTGAAACAAATTACAACTTACCTGCATTTCATTTTGCACAAATAATCAAAGCAAGGACCTGAAAACTCGTCTATAATAAAGTAAGTCGTAAAAGATTCACCATCACTAACACATTCTTCTCCAGTTTCTGAAAATATTATTGGGACATTGAAAGATTGAGCAGCATGAAATACACTTGAGTCCTGCCCAAGTGATCCAACAATGCATATTCTTTTACTCATTGTTGTGCCTAATAAAGAAAAATCCAATTATAATAAAATAATATTTAGGGTCAAAATTATGTTAGGCTTCGGTAGGTAAATAACTTAAGCATCTTAGAAAAATTGGAACAAACAATGGAATTATTTTTATAAATGCAAAAGTTTATTAATAAATTGCTTTAAGAGAATGTAAAAATAAAAATAAAATAGTTACGCACAATTTATTTCACTTAAATCCTCTTCATCCATTCTTGTTCTCACACAACATTATCTGTAAAAATAAAAATTCGTTACCAGGGTTGCAAATTTACTAAACACAATGTTCTTGTGCCACGACTAGAGTACTCTTCCGTATAAATGTAACCGTTTTTAATGCAACCATTTTTTTTTTTTTACAATGATGCTTATGATTTCTAACGTATAAAAAAGTGGACCACTATTTAAAAAATTATATTCTATATTGATCAAATATTATCAATATTTTGAATGCGTATTTTTTTTTAAAACGATCCTTATAAAATATTGAACTTTTTTTTCCAAAAAAATTTTTACAGCTTAAAAAATTTATTTGAAAAAATAAACTAAATATTAGAAAGATAAAAGCATATTTTAAAGTTTTTTTTTTTTAATAAAAAAATACAAAAAATATAAAACACTAAAAACTATGTAATTATTATTTGTTATTTTATATGCTTTGGT